GAAAATTCAGTGCAGTTCCCTTAATATTCATGATTTTTTTTTTTCAAATTTCTTTCACCCCATTTAATTGAAAAATTTGATGATTGAAAATGATTAAATCTATAGTGTCTGTACCAAACTGCAAAAGATACTAGGATATCCTCAACTTGAAAATTCAAGGAAGTTGGTGAATTCTCGTCGGGATTTAATGGAATTGGCACTAAAACTTGAAATTTAATTTCATCTTGAGGGATTCCTCAAGGGCAAAACGTCTCAGTGATGATGATTTTTCATGCGACTCTCCTAAGATCATCGTCTTCCAGTAATTACCATACGAAACAATCCTACACAGTCTGCATGACGAATCGAACCAGATAGGTTAAGTATAGAAGTCACTGTAAGTCTCTCCTTAAAATTCATCACATGAAGGTACGCCACCACGGACGTTACGATGGTATATATAAAAAGGGGGAGTGGGTGGGAGGGGGGGGGAAGGGAAGAGAGATTTGAATTATGCAACGTCGCGTCGGAAGAGAAACGGGAGGTCTCGTCGACTGTGCGCCTCGACGAGTGCAAAAAAAACTAATAAAAGAGAAATAAAAAAATGAGAAAGCAGGGTGAAAAACATGTCTTTTTCCATCGAGAAAAGCAACAAGATAAAAAGTCCAAATAGTTGGGTTGTGAGCATATTTTCCAGTGCACTCGGACCCATTGAATATTTCTAGTGAATCGATTCCCCCGGGGAACTTGAGAGATATATATTTTCCAAGGAAGGTGGATTTGCTGAAAGGAATCGAGTCGGTTTGACGAGCTCTGAAGAAGTATTCAAGGTTTCTCGAATGCGGAAGTCACGGTATGAAGGATGAAAATGGTCTAGTGACCTTCGATTCACTTGTCAAAGAATTTAATGCGAGCGATGGAAAAAAAATTCATTGTGAGATTGAGGTGATTACTGTTTAAAAATTTTTGACTTAAATTTCGGAGACTTAATTTAGTTCCACTGACATTTCAAGGAATTTCGTCCTTGACAATTCGAAATTTTATGGAAAATTTGATGGAAACTGATTACTTCAGTTCAATTATTTCATGAAAATAATTTAATAATTTAATAAATATTTCAGGAAAATTCAGGTAAAAATTTTCTTGAATTCTGAATCAATTGAAAATTCGTGACTGCAATCGGCTGCTCGAAAATGTAAAATTTCATAATTTTTTTTCCTAACTCAAATTCAATGTCACTCTTTTGAAAATTATTAGTCAACTGTCCATGAAATTAAAAATTTTCAGTCCAACAGTGCTGTGCAGTAATCAGAATATCCCATATTCGTACATTTTTTAATTATTTACTCGTGTTTTCCATTACAATTTAATTTTATTGAATTAAATTTCACATGAATGCTAATGACAAGCCTCTCCATGCATGGGAAATTTCAATCTGAATATTTAACATTTTCTATTTTATCCTCTATTTTTTTTCAAGGGGAAAAGAGCACCAATGAAAAATTATTCAACACTGCAATGAAATTAAGCAAATGTGCTAACCGATTAGAGGCTGGATAATCGATCTCATTACATACGCTGCTCTCTCTACGGGAGATAGCAGGCTGTGTATACTTGTTACATTATAAGCCGCGTGTGTTTCACCTACGCATATTTACAGATCACCGTGTGCGATCAGCCGTACGCTGACAGTCTACTTTGCACGATAAAAACGTTTTGAACCGTTTTATAGTCTATAACACACAATCTTCATGGATTGATAATCTTATCGTTAACTATCTTAATTTGACCTCGGCATTCTTTGGTCTGAGTGAAGTAATAAAAACTTGGAATTTAAGGGCTAATTTTCAGACGACTATTGACGCAGAACTGTTCGTTTCCTATTTTTTCTCAAATTTATTCATGGCTTTTGATAATTTTTTTCAACGTTCCCATTTTATAAATGAATAATGAAAATTGGTTCTTTATGAATTATTCATGATACAAATCGTAATTTCCCGAAATTTTAATTTTTTAATTGTTCTATTAACTTCTTTAAATTGAAATTTCATGGAGAGTTTAGTAGCAATTTTTAGGAAAATGACATTAAATTCGGTTTAGAGAGAAAAATTCCCCGATTTTTTTTAATTTTCAAACAAAACATGAATGTTAAGTACCAAATAACGTAGAATTTTCAATCAATTGAACATTGAAGAATATATTCACCTGAATTTTCCTTGAGACTTCCCATCGACATTTCCCTGAAATAATGAATTTTCAACGACGATATTCCTTGAAATTTCAGCCAAAAAATGTCTACAAACTAGATGTCATTACTCACGACATGTAATACTCCTCATTAACACTCCCTCATTTCCCAAAATAATGAAAACAATTTTTCCAAATTATTTCTTCAAAAAAATGATCATCTCCATAAAATTAAACATTCTCCGAATAAATTCCACCCCCACATGAACCAATTATCCCCGCCCAATCCCCACGTCCCCAAAATAAAATCAACCCTCAAATGTTCCACTGTTGAGACCACCAGAGATCAATTGAAATGCATTACGAACAAAAAATTTTGTTTTCATCAATTCTTTTTTACGAGGTGCGGTGGACCTTGAAACCACGCTCGATCGGTCGCCTGAAAAGCCAAGCACTGTAATCACAAGAGCGAGTGCATAAAAAAAAACCTTAAAACAAAACGTATAGTAATCTCCGCACACTGGAGCGCCAACGAAAACAAAGACATCGTGGTCGGTAAGAACGACCAGTCGAGTATAAACAGAGACAGTGAATATATCCAGCCGCTTGGAGGGATATTACGTAATACCCTAGCAACGTTATAATACTCAATATCGAATCGACCTACAAATCACGAGAGAGAGAGAGAGAGACACTCCACTCTGGCTTTCCGCCTAGTCGCGCATTCCCGACACCGAGACGATCCTGCGAATCATCATCCCCTCCTGCCCCTCCCGCCGTCACCAGCTTGTTAAACACCGTCGCTATTATATTGTAAAAGTAATATTTGAGAGATTACCGCGGAAATTAATCCGTCAACAAATCAACTCAATTTCAGCCGAGTTTCATACAATTTTTTTTTCATCAGAAGACATTTTTTTTTGAACATCTTTGCGATCGCATCGTCAACATTTCAAGGGTCGAAAAATTGAGGATCTGAAAACTTGGAGTCAAATCAGGTTGACCAGAAAAGAAATCAAGAAAAGTTTCTGAAAGTTTTTCAAAAAAAAATTGTCTTCTGAAGAAAAAAAAAATTGTCTCCCTAAGATCTTCTTACAAAATGCCTTCCGAAAGGTTTTGAAATGGCTTCTCTGAAAGATTTTGTCTTCTGAAGAATCCTTTTGGGCCACCAAGAAGATCTTTCACATAAACTTCCGAAGATTATTCCAAGAATTTCGGAAAAATATTCGAAAGACAGAAATTTTTTACGCGATATATCTGAAAATAATACGTTATAATATGCATCGTTAATGGCGATGGATAAATTAAATTGTCGAGTGGATGTAATAGGAGCTATCGATTTATTAATGTCGTTTCAATTCACGCGGTGAAGTTTTTTTTCGTAATTTTTTTACTATGCGCTCGTTTTACATTTATGAGATGCATTATTTGAAATGCTTGGCATGAGTGGTATTCTGCGGATGTCATGTACACACAATATTTTTTTTGTTCATTATGTTGATGATATCAATGGAAAAAATGGCATTCGATTGAATTGTTTCTTTTTTTTTTTAAGTGAAATTTCAATTGAATTATTTTCTTCGGAATAAAAGGAGAACCGTTTGAATGATGAATCGAGAATAATTGATACGAAAAACCTGTTCTCATCGGACCACTGAATGAGCCTTTCGACTCCTTTGATACGCGAGAATTATGGGTTCCCTTCATCTATCGGGTGCCACCCGATTCAGGAAATAATCGAGGAAAGAGGAGACATATAAAAATGAGTTTGAAAGCAAGAGGTGGCTCGTAAAAGGATTATTAAACGAGTTTAAAAAGTCCCTCAACCGACGCACCTGTTGAGAGAGGCCCTGAGACAGGAAAAACGTTGGGTTTTAGATCGAGAAATCGGTTTCCGGACTCGAATGCGGAGGGACAAATACAAGTGGGGGATAATTCATTGATCGATTGTGCTGAAATGTTTTCATTTTGATTCACTTATTTATCGAGTTTCCTAGGATTCTCTTTACCTCCAGCGACGTGTGTCTGAGTGCGTGTTAAACTTGGGAAAATGTGGTTAAGGGGTTTCACAGACGGAACTCCATTCTGATTCAATTTGTCAGAGGAAAAAACCTCATCCGGGACATTTTTCCATCTGCATATCGATAACTACTGAGATATAACAATTTTTTTTCTTCATTCACCATCAAATTTACCATTTTACTTCAATTGAACAAAATTTTTCTTCAATGGACTCCAATGTTCCCTATTTTTCTTTCGAGGGTTTTACGTTTAGTGTTCACGTGATGAAAAATTATCTGCGAGTGAATCTCGTTTCTTTTAATTGAGAATGAAAGAATGAAAGCAGTGGAACGAGTACAGAGAGGGGGGAGAGCGGTAATTAATTAATCGATTTTGTTGAAACGTTTTTCTTCGGAATTATATGTTTATCGAGTTTCCTAGGATTATCTTTACCTCCAGCGACGTGTGTCTGAGTGCGTGTTAAACTTGGGAAAATGTGGTTAAAAGGTTTCACAGACGGAACTACATCCTGATTCAATTTGCTAGAGGAAAAAGCCTTCCCCGGTATAGTTTTTCATCTGTATATCGATAACTGCTGAGACATAAAATTTTTCTCTCCATTCAGCATTAAATTTGCCATTTTCCTCAATTACTTCAATTCCAATTGAACGAAATTGCTCTTCAATGGAGGATAATGTTCTCTATTCATATTTCTTTTCGAGGGTTTTGCGTTTAGCGTTCACGTGATAAAAAATTATCCGCGAGTGAGTCTCGTTTCTTCTGGTTGATAATGAAAAAATGGGGGAGGAAATAATTTTAGCGGTGTTACTTACCTTGACGGGGGCACGGAAGAGCGAGGAGGCAGAGGATGCGTGGGAATTGGCGTGATGATGATGGTGGCCGTGGTTGTGGTGGCCGTGGCGGGAGTCCGGACCACCGCCCGCCGCCGCCTGCTCTGCCTGGACCGACATCGCCGCGCGTGCCTGACGCTCACGCTCTCGAAGCCGGTCCCGGTCCACGCTGAAACAATTTGAAGAAAAAAATGTTGAATCTGGTCCAGATCATTTGTATTTGGGAAAATGAAAAAAGTGCACAATTTTCAGTCGCCAATAACGCGAAATCCGCTGAGTGAATTTCGACAATTCTTCTTTCATTTTGAAAATATTTTTTCGGAGATTAAAACGACCCCTGATTCATACAAATTGCACCATTGGTTCAGGAGATATTGATAATTTAAGAGGATCAGATCAATCGTTTTTTTAGTTTAGAGCGTTATTCTTAGTGCAATTAATTGAAGATGGAAAATTGTGCAAGAGGACTTCATCATTCATCATTTTGAAAATATTCCAAGATCGAGAGTCATTTTGACACATCTGTCAAGCAGTGATACGTCACGTGTGTGAAAACGACACGGATAAATACAGCAAAACAGAAGTAGTAACTCAGACTCGTGAAAAAAAAAGGAGATTACGTGGGCGATGAAGGGGGGCACGAGTTTTAGACGAGTGCGCGCGCAAAAGACGAGAAAGAGATACAGGAGAATTGAAGTTGACGCAATGAGTTGAAGTGAGAGAAAACAAGAATGAGCTGTCGCGTTTATTTTGAGCCATCGAGCGAAGGCTAAATACCGGAATTCTAGTCTCTCAGCGATTTCTCGATTATTCCACTCAGCAATTTGTCTTTTTCTGCCTTCTTAAACTATTATTTTTTGCACATTGTCAGATCTGCACGAAGTACGAGATATAATTAGCCAATTAACGTGAAACTAGTCGCGATGTGTAATTATGTTCCGCGATCGTGGAACAATTCAGGAGAAGTTTCTGATGAATATCTCGGAATCTCGTAATTTTTGGCTCAAATTTTCGGCAAACTTCGGAAAATGATATCGCGTTATATCTTCACTGGATTTTCTAATAATTTTGGCATTGAAAATCCAAAATTTCGTGGGAAAATCGGCGAAAACTGTGACTTCGAGGTCAATTATTCCACGAAAATTAATACAAAACAATGAAATTCGGATAAATTTGGTATTTCATTGATTCTTTTCCTTTAAATCAAATTCAATGTCATTCTCCCGAGGATTACCACTCAACCGTCCCTGAAATTTCAATGTTTTTCTGACAGTCCAAATAAGAGAGAAAAATTTTCCCTCAGACATGGTTTTTAATCTCATTTTTCTCCTCAAAAACGTCTTAAAAAATGTCCTCATCTCCCTGACATTCCGATATATTCCCCAACACTTCCCAATAGTCTTTGTATTCAATACCCCGATAATAGCCGATCTGTCTTTCGCCTCGACACTGACACACTGACACCAATCCCGCAGACCACGTAATACAAAAATAAAAACAACTAAAAAACGTCAAACGGCGCACCACCGAGAATGATGATGCGAATAAAAAGTTGATCGGCCTTGAGTTCCCTCTAAATCTTCAAGAATCGCAGAGGAATTGATAAAAAATTCATGAATCTCTGGTGCATAATTTTAATTATTCCCTTTTTTGTCATTCCTATTTTTTTCTTCATCATTGCAAACTGCGGGAAGTCAGCGAGTGTCGCCGAGTTAATCCGAGCATGAAAGCGAAGGATCCTCGGATGTTGTGTGGAGTGGAGGAAGAGAAAGGTGGATCGGTGGGGA